CAGCAACATCCGCCCCCGCAACCGCCCCCGCCGCCCCCGCCGCCGCAGCCGGCCAAACCGCAGCAGGTCATCCAGCATCACCCGTCGCCGCGGCACCATAAGCCTGATCCCTACTCGACCGGTGACGCAGCCGGCCAAACCGCAGCAGGTCATCCAGCATCACCCGTGCACCATGCACCATAAGCCTGATCCCTACTCGACCGGTGAGCGGGAGCGGCGGTGCGGTTCGGGGCGGGGGGGGCCACGCGTCCTTAAGTTGCATTGCGTGATGAGGAGGCGGATCGGGGCGGTGGGGTGGCTTCCACGCGTCCTTCGAGGTCCGCCAGCACCCGTCGGCAGACGGTGGTGGGTGCGGAGGAAGCCCCGGTTAGCCGGAGCCTGACGTAACCGCCCGGCGAGGCCTCTTTCCATCTGAGATCTTGAGGAGCTCAAGTTTTTGAGGATCTCAAGTGTTTGAGGATCTTGAGGGTCTCGTTTTTGAGGATCTCGAGGCTCTCGGATCTTTGAGGAACTCGAGGCTCTCAAGTTCCTGAGGATCTTGAGGATCTCAAATTTTTGAGGATCTTAAGTATTTGAGGAACTTCGGGATCTCGAATTTTTGAGGATCTCAAGGATCTCGTTTTCTAGGATCTCAAGTATTTGTGGATCTCGAGGTTCTCAAATCTTTGAGGAACTCGATCTCAAATCTTTGAGGAACTCAAGGACCTCATTTCTGAGGAATTAGGATCTCAGTTTTTGGAGGAACTCAAGGATCTCAAGTCTCTGAGGAATTCGAGGATCTCAAGTTTCTGAGGAAGTCAAGGACCTCATTTCTGAGGATCTCAAGGGTCTCAAATTTTCCAGGATCTCAAATTTCTGAGGATCTTGAGGGTCACGAGTTTTTGAGGGACTCGATCTCATTTTTGAGGATTTCAAGGCTCTCAAAGCTTTGAGGATCTCGAGGATCTCGAGTTTTTGAGAATCTCAAGGCTCTCAAATCTTTGAAGACCTCGAGTTTTTGAGTCTCGGCGCAGCTCTGACGCCGGAGAGCGCTGGCCTTGTGTTCGTCGCCGTCCTGGCATTGGGTGGTCTCTCTCGAGGAGGCGGGGGGTCCGCTCCCCGCTCGGAGAGGAGCTCAGGGCTGTGGATGCCCCGCGGGGGTTTCCCGGCATTTTTCGGAGCGCGGCTTCCGCTAAGGCAGCTGCTTGGCTGCCAGGTGGAGGAGGAGGGATGATCCGGGGGGGAAAACCCGGTGCGATGACCTCCAGCCGTCCCAGAAATCGGAGGAAGCCGCAGGGATAACGCGGCCACGGGGCTCAGCCTTCAAAATCGGCTTGGGAGATCCCAGATCTCCACGACGGCCGTGGGTTCGGTGGTGCCGCCACCGACGTTCCCGATGGAGAACGTCTCCGGCTGGGATAACTCCGGCAGCGTCGTGCTTTCGAGACCGGGCACCCATGAAACCTCTATGGTTCGGGGAGGTCTCGCTCCTGCTTTTGCTCGGCTGCGTGCTTCCTCGGGTTGCGGCCCGTTGGGTCTTTGCTCCCGAAGTCGTCCCCGCGGGCGTAGGTCGGACAAAAATCCACGGATTTGAAGGGATGGAGCCAGGTGAGGGCAGGCAGCGCTCGGAGCCGCTTCCCCTGCCTGCAGAGCTGCCGCCGGCAGCTTGGACCTGATGCCCGGGAGGGCGAGCTTTGGACGCGATGCCCGAGGCGCGGAGCCTGCTGGCTCCCGAAAAACCTCCCGTTGCTCGCGCAGCCAACGCGTCCTGCCCCCGTGGCTCTGGGCAGGGAGAGGTGCGGGCAGGGAGAGGTGCGGGCAGGGCAGCGTCGGCGCTCGGGCGGGGACGGGTTTTACAGCCAGGAATATTGATGGACCACCAGGAGAACAAGCAGAAGGGATCGAGTTATGGGGGGGACGGGGACGGACACCACAGACGGGCGTCACCGAGGCAGGACGAGCCCCCGCGCAGCCTTGGAGCATCTTCTGCTCCCCGGCGTTGGCTCGCGGCAGCGCTGAGTTTTGGAGGCGGCGGGGTCCGTTGGCGACGTCCCAGGGCCGCCACGGTTCAGCCGGGAAGAGGGCTTGTCCCACGGGGCGATGGCGTGCGCCGACCGGCTTTTTCGGGTGATGTTTGGCGTGCCGATGGTGACGACGGTTAACTGATTGATGCCAAACTGTTCCCAGGTCACTTGAGGGAAGCCCCTTCCCCTCTCATGATGCATTCCCCACAGATGCCGCAGTTCCAGGGTTTGGTCCACCAGTCGCCACCTCAACAAACTATCCAGCCAAAAAAACAGGTAAAAAGGAAAGCAGAGCACCCAACCGCAGGGGGTCCCACCCAACGGGGACCATCATCTTTCCACCACCGGCTTGGGAGCAAGCGCCGAAAGCCAAGGGGCCGTCGGCCAGCGGTTTGCATTGGGAAACCGGGGATGTGGGGATGAGGGAAGGGCGTCACCGGACGTTTCTGGACCCTTTTCTTTTTTTTTTTCCCCGTGGCAGGAGATGAGAGCCGCCTCCGTCGTCCAATCTCAACCCATGGTGGTGAAGGAGGACAAGATGCATTCGCCCGTCATCCGTAACGAGACCTTCAGTCCCCCGTTGCGGCAAGATCCGCCGAAACACCCGGAGAGCATCAAACCGCCCGCGCACATCCCGCAACGTGAGTCTGGGGACGTGACGGTTCCTCCGTACCCCCCCATTTCGGTGGCAGAGACCCCCATCACCCCCCTATTTCGGTGGCTGAGACCCCCATCACCCCCATTTCGGTGGCGGAGACCCCCATCACCCCCCTATTTCGGTGGCTGAGACCCCCATCACCCCCATTTCGGTGGCTGAAACCCCCATCACCCCCTGTTTCGGTGGTGGAGACCCCCATCACCCCTTATTTTGGTGGCTGCGCCCCCATCACCCCCCCATTTTGGTGGTGGAGATCCCCATCACCCCCGGGTGGTTCCCCCTCGCCGTGGGGTTCCTGGGGGACCCCCCACAACCTCTGACGGGAGCCGCTGGTTTTTAGGGACGGAGATGAAACCCATGGAGGGGGGACGACCCGTCATCAGACCCCCAGAGCAAAACCCCCCGCCGCCGGGTGTGCAGGAGAAAGATCGGCAGAAACAGGAGCCGAAAACACCCGTCGCCCCCAAAAAGGTAACGTACCCTGGCGAAAATTGGGAAGAAACCTCCCAAAATTCAGAATTAAACCTCCCGAAATGAAGCAGGGCCGTGTTGGCCGCCTGAATCTTGGTGTACGGCCAAGATTTGGTGGAAAGCGCCTGATGGAGGTTGGAGAGGTAGAGGGGGGGATCCCCCACCCAGCCGAGGGACGGGGATGCCATCGAGAGGGACCTGGAGAAGCTCCAGGAGCGAGCCCATGAGAACCTCATGAGGTTCTGCAAGGCCAAGTGCAAGGTCCTGCACCTGGGTCGGTATCGGTACAGGTTGGGGGATGAAGGGATGGAGAAGGAGCCCCGTGGAGAAGGACTTGAGGGTTATTGATGGATGGAAAGTTGGACGCGAGCCGGCAACGCGAGCTTGCAGCCTGGAAAGCCAACCGCGTCCCGGGCTGCATCAGAAGCAGCGCGACCAGGGGGTCGAGGGAGGCGATGCTCCCCCTGTGCTCTCCTGAGACCCTACCTGGAGTCCTGCGTCCAGCTCTGGGGTCCTCGGGACGAGAAGGACGCGGACCTGTTGGAGCGGGTCCAGAGGAGGCCGTGAAGATGATCCGAGAGCCGGAGCACCCCTCCTGTGAGGACAGGCTGGGAGAGCTGGGGTTCTTCAGCCCGGAGAAGGCTCCGGGGAGACCTTCTTGTGGCTTTCCCATCTATAAAAGAAAGATGGAGAGAGACTTTTGACCCAAGACCTGTAGGACAAGGGGCGGCGGTTTTAAACTGGGAGAGGGTAGGTTTAGATTGGCCCTAGGGAAGAAATACGTTACGCTGCGGGTGGTGAAGCACCGGCCCAGGTTGCCCAGAGAGGTGGGGGATGCCCCACCCCTGGACACATTCCAGGTCAGGTTGGACGGGGCTCTGAGCGACCTGCTCTAGTTGAAGATGCCGCTGCCCAGGGCGGGGGGGGTTGGACTAGATGACCTTGAGAGGTCCCCTCCAGCCCAGACCATCCTGCGATTCCGTGGTTCTAAGCGGGCGTGGAAAACGTGAGGTGCTGGAGGAGCTGGTCCCGCTCCTGGCATTCCCGGGAAGGCGTTGGAGCCACCCACTGGGTTTCTGGGGGAGGAGATGCTGCCTGATGCGGGGTCCACCACCTCCTGCGGCATCCTCCGGCCCCAGGGAGCTGAAAGGGGTTTCCATGGATGATGCGGTGACGGGGAACGGCTTTTCGGCCGCAGCGGGATGGGCGTTCGCTGGATCGGCTTCCCCTCCCCGGCTCGGCTCTCCCTAACCCACCCGTCCTTCTCTCCGTAGGACCTGAAAATCAAGAACATGGGGTCCTGGGCGAGCTTGGTCCAGAAACATCCCACCACTCCGTCCTCCACGGCGAAGTCCTCCAGCGACAGCTTCGAGCAGTTCAAGAGGGCGGCGCGGGAGAAGGAGGAGCGGGAGAAGGCGCTGAAGGCTCAGGCGGAGCAGGTGGAAAGGGAGAAGGAGCGGCTGAGGCGGGAGCAGGAGAGGATGAGGTGAGACAGCCTTCGCCGCCGCCGCCATCACCACCAGCACAATCACCACCACCACCACCACCACTGCAACCACCACCACAATCACCACCACCACCATCACCACCACCACAACCACCACCACCACCACCACCAAAGAATACTGGATAGAAGCTGTTCACTTGAGTTGTGAATAATGTATGTACAAATAACCAATTATGTATGCGCAGTGTGACTTACTTGGCATAGGCTTTCTCTAGTAAGGCACTCCAAAATTCGTTGTGTTCAGCTGAGTGCAGGAAAACCAACCGGCCTTTGAAGGTGGGTAATCGGTCATCAATCACGACATCCAGCCACTCATTGTGCTGCCAAAACTATTTAGAAAGGATGGAGCATGAGTTTGCTGACAGCATGTCATCTCCTGAGCGCAGGACTCTGGTGTCCCAGCACTTCTAATTGTAAGTTAGTGACAGTCATAGGCTTGATTAGAAGTCATATGTAAATCATCCGTTCCCACTATACCATGCTAGGCTGCTCTGAAGGAAGGGTAATCTATCTTAAGAAAAGACTAAAAGTGTAGAGCTGTACTGTAGCTCCTTGTCTGGATAACATCACTCATGTAGCTACACAAGTGGTCACCACATGATTCAAGACACTTTTAGGACGCACATATTACAGATCCCAGTCCAACTCCTTTAAGGTCTTATATCCTAAGTGAGGCTTGTGGGCCCAGGAAAATCACCACCACCGCAACCACCACCACCACCACAACCACCACCATAATTACCACCACCACCACCACTGCAACCACCACCATAATCACCACCACCACCACAATCACCACCATCACCACCACAATCACCACCACTGCAACCACCATCACCACCACAATCACCACCACCACTGCCACCACCACCACCACCACAACCACCACCACCTCGGTGAAGGCGTTTTTGGGGCGTCCTCACCTTGGTTGGCCAAGGGCACGGGGAGCCGTGTGCGCGGTGAAGCCAGCCGCCGCGCTCTCATGGCACGATCTGCCCTGGTCCATGGCATGGTCTGATCTCGTGGCACGAATCTGATCCGTGGCACGATCCGATCTCTTGGCGTGACTCCGATCCAGCCCACGGCGTGATCCGATCTTGTGGCACGGTCCACGCCAGTCTGATCCGTGGCATGGTCCGATCTCGTCGCATGAAGCTGATCTGATCTGTGGCAGATCCCGTCTTTACGACACAAATCTGATCAGATCTGGCACGAACCTGATCCGGTCTGTGGCATGATCCGATCTTGTGGCACGATCCGATCTCTTGGCACAAATCCGATCCGATCTCCTGGCACGATCTGATCCCGCGGCACAAATCCACGCTGGCGGCTCTGATCCCCCACCACGATGTGCCAGGGTGCCCCAAAACTGGCTGCTCGGGGCCGGAGGTGCCCGTCCCCCGGCTGTAACAGTGTTTGCCCCGTGTCGGTGCCACCGCGGCGGGGGGGCGAACCGGAGCCAGACCTCGCCGGGGCAGGGGGAGGGGGTTGCACGAGGTGCCCGACGCCTGACGGCATCTCCCGGCATTTTTTGGCAGGAGCCGGGAGGACGAGGACGCCATGGAGCAGGCGCGCCGGGTGCACGAGGAGGTCTCCCGGCTCCCGGCATTTTTTGGCAGGAGGACGAGGACGCCATGGAGCAGGCGCGCCGGCAGGTGTCGGCGGCGGCGGCGGCGCCCCAAGCCCAGAGCTCGCAGCCCCAATCCTCCCAATCCATGTTGGATCAGCAGAGGGAGATGGCCAGGAAGCGGGAGCAGGAGCGGAGGCGCCGGGAAGCGGTGAGTGGGGAACCGGGGCGGCTCCTGCCCTGAAATCGCCGGGGGTGCTGAAAAATCCCCGGAGATGCTGGGGAAAAAAAAAAATCCCTGAGCACGCCAAAAAAAAATCCTGGGAAGCCAAAAAATCCCTTGGGGAAGCAAAAAAATCCCTGGGGACACCAAAAAAAAATCTCCTGGGAAGCTAAAAAATCCCTGGGGAAGCCAAAAAAATCTCCTGGGAAGCCAAAAAATGCCTGGGGAAGCAAAAAAATCCCTGGGGACACCAAAAAAAAATCTCCTGGGAAGCTAAAAAATCCCTGGGGAAGCCAAAAAAATCTCCTGGGAAGCCAAAAAATGCCTGGGGAAGCAAAAAAATCCCTGGGGACACCAAAAAAAAATCTCCTGGGAAGCTAAAAAATCCCTGGGGAAGCCAAAAAAAATCCTCGGGGACACCCAAAAATCGCCAGGGATGCGGCAAAATCCTCGGGGACATTGAAAAATCCCTGGAGATGCTGAAAAACGCTCGGCAATGCTGAAAAATCCCTGGGGAGGCTAAAAAATCCCCAGAGATGTCAAAAAGTGCCCGGGGAAGCCAAAAAAATCCAGAGAGGTCAAAAAGTGCCCGGGGAAGCCAAAAAAATCCCCAGGGACGCCGAAAAAGCCCCAGGAATGCCAAAAAATCCCCAGGGAAGCCAAAAAATGCCCGGGGACGCTGTAAATTCCTCAGGGATGCAAAAAAAATAGCCCTGGGGATGCTGAAAAATCTCTTGGGAAGCCAGAAAATCCTCGAGGACGCCCAAAAATCCCCGGGGAAGCCAGAAAATCCCTGGGGATGCCGAAAAACGCTCGGGGACACCAAAAAATCCCTGGGGATGCCAAAAAAAATGCTCTGGGATCCTGAAAAATCCCTGGGGATGCAAAAAAAAATGCTCTGGGATCCTGAAAAATCCCTGGGGATGCAAAAAAAAATGCTCTGGGATCCTGAAAAATCCCTGGGGATGCAAAAAAAAATGCTCTGGGATCCTGAAAAATCCCTGGGGATGCCAAAAGAAATCCCCAGAAATGCCAAAAAAATCCCCAGGGATCCTGAAAAATCCCTGGGGAAGCCCAAAAACCCCTGGAAATGCCAAAACAGTGCTGGGGATGCCAAAAAGAACCCTGGGAATGCTGAAAAATCCCCGGGAATGCTGAAAAATCCCTGGGGAAGCCAAAAAAAGTCCCTAGAAACACCAAAAACTCCCTGGGGATGCTGTAACATCCCTAGGGAAGCCAAAAAATCATCGGCGTGGCCCAAAAATCCCTGGAGACGCCAAAAAAGTCTTCAGGGATGCCAAAAAATCCCTGGGGATGCCAAAAAAAGTCCCCAGAAACACCAAAAACTCCCCGGGGATGCTGTAAAATCCCTGGGGATGCCAAAAAATCTCCGGGGATGCTGAAGGAACCCCGGGGACGCCAAAAAATGCCCGAACGCGCCAAAAAATCACCAGGGAAGCCAAAAAATCCTGAGGGATGCCAAAAAAAAATCCCCAGGAGCCGGAAAGTCGAGGACGCCAAAAAATCACCAGGGAAGCCAAAAAATCCTGAGGGATGCCAAAAAAAAATCCCCAGGGAAGCCGGAAAGTCCCTGGGGAAGCCGAAAAATCCCTGGAGATGCCGAAAAATCCTTGGAGACGCTGAAAAAATCCCTGGGGATGCAGCAGAATCCCAGGGTAAGTCGAAAAATCCTGGGGGGATGCTGAAAAATCCCCGGGGATGCCAAAAAAAATCCCGGGAATGCCAAAGAATACCTGGGGATGCCAAAAAACCACCTGGGGATGCTCAAAAGTCCCCGGAGATGCCAAAAAATCCCCGAGGATGCCAAAAAGAGGTTCTGGGGATGCCGAAAAATCCCCCGGGGACGCTGAAAAAACTCCTCAGAAACGCCAACGAATCCCCAGGGATCCCCGAAAATTCCTGGGGACGCCGAGAAGTCCCCAGGGATGCTGAAAAATCCCCGGAGACGCCAAAAAAATTCCCCGGGGATGCTGAATAACCTCCGGGGAAGGCGAAAAATCCTTGGGGCTGCCAAAGAAAAAAGTGCTGGGAATGCGGAAAATTCCCTGGGGATGCTGAAAAATCCCCGAGGACGCCCCCAAAAAAATCCTTGGGGATGCTGAAAAATCTCCTGGGAAGCCAAAAAATCCCTGGGGATGCCCAAAAATCCCTGGGGATGCCAAAAAAAACTTGCCGGGAATGCCGCAAAACCCTCAGGGACGCCAAAAGTTTCCCGGAGATGCCGGAAAATCCTTGGGAACGCCAAGAAAACCAAAAAAAAAAAAAAAAAATCCCCGGGGATGCTGAAAATTCCCTGGGGAACGCCAAAATATCCCCGGGGATGCCCAAAAACATCCCGGGAATGCTGCAGAGTCCCTGGGGATGCCGAAACCCCCCTCGGGGTGCCGGGAAAAAAATAATCCCCGATGACTCCCCCCCCGGAAAAAAAAAACCCGCCTGGGGCTGGCAAAAAAAGCAAAGGGAAAAAAATCCCAGGAGCGCGTCAAAAAATCCTGGGAACGCAGCAAAAAATCCCAGGAACGTGGCAAAAAATCCTGGGAACGTGGCAAAAAATCGCAGGAATGCGGCAAAAAACCCTGGGAACGCAGTAAAAAATCCCTGGCACATGGCAAAATATCCCGGGAACGTGGCAAAAAATCCCGGGAACATGGAAAAAAATCCCTGGCACGTGGCAAAAAATCCCCGGCACGTGGCAAAAAATCCTGGGAATGTGGCAAAAAATCCCAGGAACGCGGCAAAAAATCCCAGGAACGCGGCAAAAAATCCCAGGAACGCGGCAAAAAATCCCAGGAATGTGGCAAAAAATCCCCGGCACGTGGCAAAA